CGGGGTGACCGCTCCCGGCCGAGAGGAGCGGCCCGGCCTACACCGTGGGACCCTACACCGTGCGGGCCCAGGCTCCCCGCTGTGCGCCGCCTGCCGTGCAGCCTGGGGCTCCGGGCCGCGCTCCGGAGTCACACTCGGAAGCGCGCCGTGCAGGAATCAACCAGGCAGCCGCTGTGCGCTGACCCCCGCTGGCGAACGCGCGTGTGTGTGTGTGTGTGTGTGTGTGTGTGTGTGTGCGCGCGCGCGCGCGCGCGCGTTCCGCTAGCTTGCTCTCTGGGAAGTGTGTACTTCTCAAAGCAAGGTGGGCTGACACTACATGTACTGTTTTGGAATGCCTTTTCACAACACGTTTCTATAACATGCTCCACTTTTTAAAAATCTGTTCAGCATAAGAGCAGACAATTCCGACATTCACGTAATTGTATTGTATTTTTCCAGGTAATTTTAAAATGTAGTAGATTCTAAGAGCCAGCACATGCAGGTGTCGCTGCTGAACAGACTTGTGGTCAGCATGGTCAGTGAGTCAGCCCTGTCCATCCAGCCACCAAGTCTCAGATTCTCAGCTCGGCTGTGTTAAAAGGTGCTGCTTAAGTGTGAACGCATATGTATGTTCAGTAAGAACTGCTGACTGCCAAGCTATCATAAATTACTTCACCCAAACCAAAATAATTTGTTCACATTTTTACATAACTGCATTGGAGGAGTACATATAGATAGACTCCTGGTTTTAAAAAGTACCAAAAAATAAAGAATAAATTAAAAACTAAAAGAAAAGAAAAGGAATCGTGTGCTTCAGGGCTGGGAATGTAGCGCAGCATGCATGAGGCCCTGGGTTTGAACCCCAAAATGACCAGAAAGAAAGTGGGCTTCAGTAGGGCGACCCTACTGTACAGTGACTTACTGTATATTTTATAAAGAACGAGGCAAGAGGACTCTGAAGGTCCCAACATAAAGAGACCGTTCCAGAGATATGGTAAAGACGTGAGGTGTGGGATCCCAGTTACCTTGATTTGGCTGCTTACCTGTTCTGTGTGGGAATTGAATTATCACACTGTACCCACAACTTTTAAAAATAATACAATTTTGAATGAGAAAAGAAATAAATATAGTTTGAGGGTTCTAACAAATGTTCATTCCCTCAGAAAATAGTCCTTCTGGCAGGGCCGTCCTCCCACAGTTCGTTTTTACTGTTAAAGGTTTTTTTTTTTTATGACTTTTTCTTGGCATCAGGAATCGAACTCAGGACCTTGCACTTGCCAGGCAGGCACTTGTGCTGCTGAGCTATCTCCGGCCCCTCCCACAGTTCTGAGTCCTTCCTTTGCCTTCTGGGGTGCCAGTCACACCCAGGCCCTGGGATCCCACTAAACCACAGCCGAGGAAAGCTGTTGTGATTTTGCAGGACACCCAGCACGTAACAGGAGCTCACGTTTCCATCATAGGGACATTCTGCTGGGGAGCTGTATGCAACACATGCGTGTTTTTAGGGAATTCTAAAGTAATCATAATTCTCAAAAACACAGCACAAATGCTGAAAGGACAAAATCGTTGTAACAATTCCAGTCACTCCTGTCCCCTCATCGGTCACCACAGGGCATCCTGGAGCGCTTGGACGCCGGTGAGGTGGTGATCGGAGATGGGGGCTTTGTCTTCGCCCTGGAGAAGAGGGGCTATGTCAAGGCAGGACCCTGGACCCCGGAAGCTGCCGTGGAGCATCCCGAGGCAGGTGGGTGCCCAGCTCTGTTCTGAGTCCTCGCAGGTTGCTCCAGCTGAGGCAGGCAGCCACGCTTTCCCGGATGGCTGTGGCCTGCTGGGCATGACAACGTGTGACTGCGGAACTGGCAGACCACACAGTGGCTCTCCTGCCGTTGTCCACCATCCACTTCCGGGGCCCTGCCTGGAACCTGGCTCACAGCCTTCCTCACGGACTCCCCTCCCTGTTCGGTGACTGCAGATGACCTGTCCAGCACTGTGGCTGGCAGTGCCTGCACCCTGCCCTTTCCACTGCACTTCCCACCACACCCTGCGAGCACCCACCCTCACCAGGGGCTGCCCCGCTGAAGCCTCTGTGCACAGTGCACCACTGCCCACTTCATTCCTCTGCTCATGCCCTGGAACTCCTGTTCCTGGCCTGGGCAAGACAAGCACCTGCACCAGCTTAGTGTCCCTGACCCTGGCTCCCCAGGTGGCTTCGTGGTCCCCCTCTGCTGCCCATGGCACCCAGCAGCATCACTAACCCCTCCACTGAATGTGGCCATGAGTTCATCCTGCCCCCAACCCAGCCAGGCAGGTCAGCTGTCTGCCCGCCCCTCGCCTGCTTGCAGGGTCCTTCCTCCCGTTGTCTGAACACAGATCCCCTGGAGAGGAGGCTGAGAGTCAGAGCGGCCAGGCCAGATGCCGACTTACAGGGCAGTGGCCTCGGGATAGCCCGCAAGAGGCAGGCACTGGTCTATAGAAGGGAGCTCTTCCTGTGACCTGAGGGCTTCCTGTCACCCAGAGGGCTCGCCTGCACGACAGCCCAGTCTCTGGAGCTCTGCTCCTCCAGAACTCAGTCCCAGTCCTGATTTCCAGCTTCCTGCTCTGGCTGTGTCACCCAGGAGACCCTCAAACTTCCACGCTTGGCCTTACCTTGAGGCACACCCTCCCAAGCCCTTGCTGTCTTCCTCCAGCACTGTTGGGGTCCCAAAGTCCATTCTTAGAGGTCAATACTGTTGCCCGAGACCCACTGTCCACCACAAGTGCCACTCGCCTCAGTGGCTGGCCGCATTCCCTGACAGGCAGCCACCCTGCTCGCCCTGCATAGCATTTCTTTTTTTCTTTTTTTTTTTATTTCAAAGAGTAAAAGAAGGATAACATAGTAATAGAAGGGCTTACCGAATTACAGACAAAGTGGTAGGAAATTATCAATGGTTGTTGTTTGACATAGTGTTATCTACAAGATAGTTTCTCAGGAAAACAAATAGACAAATAATAGTGAGTTACAGACAAAGGTGGTAGGAGATTATCCATGGTTGTTGTACTACACTTTGGTATCTTCAAAGTGGTTTCTAAAGAAAATAAATAGAGCTATAGATGAGTGACCAATTGAATATTCATTGACTGTTCTCAATGGTTGTAGGAAACGCATAGTAATAAACATACATCCATTTACAAAATAGCATAGGAACAATACAAACATTACAGAGTTATGGACAGATTAGTAGGAAAATATCAATGGCTGCTGTAATACATGTTAGTATCTTCAAAGTGGTTTCTCAGAAAGACAGAGATATGCAAAAAAGATCTAACAAGTAGTTATAGCCAAAGGGTTGTGAAAAATAGTGTATTACCTCCTAACCAGTGACTCCTTTCACTGAGGTATGAGGTCTGGAAGGGACGCCTGGATTGAAAAGAAGGACCGAGAGACTTGCACCTGTGTCTAGCAACAGGCTGTTTCCTTTTTCCTCTATAGTCATGATTACCCGGGGCTCCTCCATGGAGGTGACAGTCTGGCCAGAGGCAGAAGGCAGAGTATGCCCCAGGCCCCCTCATTCCTGTTGGACTAACTGGTAGGATGGGTCTGAGCTCTGGGGCCTCTGCTTCAGAGGGCAGACCG